ACCATAGATTATATATAAATTATATATATATTTATATATTTTAAACATGGGTGCATAAAAACCACATTCATTCTGTGGGAAATGATCAGATTGTGACATAATTTTGAACCTGATATGGTAGCAGGTCAGTTAACTTGACATAGTGCAAAGCTAATGAGCTGAGGTTGTGCGTGCTAGCATCACGTGTGCAGCTCCTTAGAAAGCCAGCTTGGTTCTCCTGTGACTCCTCTTGGAGAGGTACCTGGTTTTATTGACAGTTTTTGTTTGACTCCACTGAGGAATGGGACTGTTCTGCTTTTGATTTTTTTTGACCAGGAACCCCTTGATCCTGAAAGTCTTATGAGAAGACATAGTGAAGACAAAACGGGGCCACAAGATGTGCTTTTACAAGGACTGATACCTCCTGATGGCAGCCTTGACATGCAAAGATTACCCCCCAACATTGTGGGGAAAGGTCTGCACAAATAGGCCAATACTAATTATTATAATTAATGGAGGAAAATTTTGAAGTTGTTAAGAATTTAGTTTTAGTTGGATCCATAACCAAAGCATGCAACCAGCAAATCAAAGTATATATTAAATTAGGCAAATCTGCTGCAAAAGATCTCTTCAAAAGGTTAAAACACAAACATGTATGTCACTTTGAAGACTACAGTGTTACTTTCTCAAGCCATGGTATGTATTTTCAACTGTTTTATAGACATGCAAAAACAGACATTGAATAAAGACACCAAAACAGAATTAATGCTTTTACATTATGTTTTGTTGTTGTGTGCTATTGAATTGAAACTGAGTCATAGCTGACCCTCCAGCAGGTTTTCATGGGCAATAAACCACAAAGGAGGAGACTTCCCATCCTGGATTTGAACCATGTGCCTTTGGGATTGCAGTACTGCTTCTTACTGCTAGGCCACCAGAGCACTCTTTTAAATTATAGTGCTGGAGTATAGGAAATACGTTCTAGAATTTTCCAGAAGGATGAACAAATCTATCTGGGAAGAAATACAGCCAGAACATTCCTTAGAAGCAAGGACAGTAAGACTTTGTACTCACTCACTTTGAACACGTTATCAGGAGGGGCCAGTCCCTAAACAGGGACATTATACTTGACAGAAGGTCAGAGAAAAAAAGGAAGACTCTTAATAAGAGAGATGAACTCAGTGGCTGAAACCATGGACTCAAACAGCAACAAAGTGAGGATGGGATGGGACTTAGTGATTTTTCTTTCAATTGTACAGAGAGAGGATCATTGTGAGTGAAAACTAGCTTGATAGCACCTAACAGCAGCAGTATTACATGTTTGCTATCGTTTCAATTAAGAATGAGTAAAAGACCAATGTCTTTGTAAACCTTCACTAAAATCACAATAATTTTTTAAAAATTTGTTATGATTTGAATCCTAGCTGTCTGACTCCCTGATTTATTCTTTCCTTTTTTGTTGTTGTTGTTATGTGCCGTCTAGTCGCTTGCGACTCATAGCAACCCTATGTACAACAGCTCTAAACTCTGCTCTGTCCTGTGCCAATCTCATTGCCTTCGACACACTCATCCCGATTGCCCCAGTCACCAAATCAATCCATCTCCCAGAGGGCCTTCCCCTCCTGCACCTGCCCTCCACCCTCCTAAGCATGATGTCCCTCTCCAAGGACCGGTCTCTCCTTACAACATGACCAAAGTATGTCAGATGAAGCCTCCGAATCCTTACCTCCAAGGAGCAGCTCGGTTTAACCCTCTCCAGGTTGAATCTGTTTGTTCTCTTAGCAGTCCATGGCACCTTCAGCACTCTTCTCCAACACCAAAGCTCAAAAGCATCAATTCTCCTTCTATCCTCCTTGGTCATTGTCCAGCTCTCTGATGCATAACAAGTGATTGCAAAGACCGTGGCCTGTACCAGACGCACCTTTGTTTCCAGAGACACACCGTTGCTCTTGAGTACTTTAGAGAGGTCCCTAAGAGCAGACTTTCCCATGGCAATACGTCTTTTAATTTTCTGACTGCTGGTGCCAAGAGTGTTGATTGTGGAGCCAAGCAAACTAAAGCTGTGAACAATCTCAATCTCTTCACCATCTACGCTGATGCTACCAATTGGTCCAGTGGTGAGAATCTTTGTCTTCTTGACATTGAGCCTCAGTCCATATTGAAGGCTGCAGTCCCTGACTCTCAGCAGCAAGCGCTTCAGGTCCTCCTCAATTTCAGCAAGCAGGGTTGTGTCATCTGCATAATGTAGATTGTTTATGGATCTTCCACCAATCCTGATGCCACATTTCTCCTAATAGAGCCCAGCCTCCTGGATGATCTGTTCTGCATACAGGTTGAAAAGGTATGGAGACAGAACACATCCCTGGTGTACACCCTTCCCAATTTTGAACCATGCAGTGTTTCCTTGCTCTGTTCTGACAACTGCCTCTTGGTTCAAGATCATTAGCATGATCAAGTGTTCTGGGATTCCCATTCTTCTCAGAGTCAGCCACAGTTTGTTATGATCCACACAGTCAAATGCCTTTGCATAGTCTGTGCTTTCAGCCAAGATCCATCTAATATTAGCTACAATATCCCTAGTAATACGACCCCTTCTAAACCCAGCCTGGACTTCTGGCAGTTCTCTGCTGATGTGCTGTTCCAGTTGTTTTTGGATAATCTTCAGTAGAATCTTGCTTACATGTGAAATCAATGATATTGTTCTGTAGTTTGTACACTCTATTGGGTCACCTTTCTTTAGAATGAGAACAAATATAGATCTCTTCCAGTCAGTCGGCCAAGTGATTTTTCTCCAGATTTCTTGACACGACTTGGTGAACAAGTCCAAGGCAGCATCTGTTAGCTGAAATATGTCAATTGGTATGCCATCTATTCCTGGGGCCTTACTTTTTGCTATTTCTTTCAAAGCAGCTTGAACTTCTTCCTTCATCACCATAGGCTCTTGCTCTTATGTTGTTTTGTTAAATTCTTCTGTATCTGCCAATTCCTTTCGATACAATGACTCAGTATATTCTTTCTATCTTCTTTTGATACCTCCTGGATCATTTAATATTCTGCCTAAAGAATCCTTGATTATAGCAACTCGAGGTTTGAATTTGTTCTTCAGTTCCTTGAGCTTAAGAAATGCTGAGCAAGTTCGACCCTTTTGGTTTTCTGACTCCAACTCCTTGCACATTTCATTGTAATGTTTTGCTTTGTCATTCCGAGCTGCCTTTTGCAATCTTCTGTTCAGCTCTTTAATATCTTGAGTTCTTCCTTGTGCTTTGGCTTCTCTGCACTCCAGTGCAATATTCAGAGTTTCTTCTTACATCCATTTTGGTCTTTTCTTCCTCTTCTGTCTTTTTAATGAACGTTTGCACTCTTCTTGGGTACATTTTATTTTTTAAAGTTTTCTACCAGTTTATTTCTGACTTGTATTTTCAATCACTAAGTTGATCTAAATGAAGTAAAAATATGCTTGATTCCCTATTTGACTGTGACTACTTTGACACACAGTCTTTTGGAAACATTGGAGGGGTACCAGGTTTATGATAGCTTAAACTCATTCTCACTCCCAACTCATTCATTGCTGCTGAGTTAGAATCAACTCTTAAGACTCTCCAGTAGATTTTCAGAGGCTGCAAATCACATGAGAGGAGATTGTCCATTTTTCTCCCAAGGTGATTCAAACTTCTGACCTTAAGTTTGGCAGGGCAACTTCTTACCCACTGGGCCACCAGAGCTCCCTCAATTTCACTGCTGTTGTTGAATACCCTCAAGTTGGAACTAACTCTTAGCTAACCCTGTTCTGGATTTTCAGAGGTAGTAAATCATGTGGGAGGAGTGTGCTGTTTTGTCTTCCACAGAGAAGCTGGTGGAACTGAAATGTATGCCTTGGACAACTCCTTGGATAGAAAAAAGAGTTGAGAAGGAGAGAGAGAAAGAAAGAAGCTGATCCCAAAAAAGCAAACAGGCTTTATTGCATGGTCTGTGAAGAACACTAAGCAACCCCATCCCGAGAAGGTCAAAATGGTGAAAAGGCAGTCAAGGACACTTTCTTTCTTTCTTTTTTCCCCCAGGTTGTTTTTTTTTTAAATTAATTTTAATGAAAGTTTACAGAAACTTAGGGTTTCCAATCATTTATTTTTGCACTTTTCTTCCTGTCCATCCCTCCCCCCAATTCACTCTTGTCTTTTTAAAGTAAACAAAAAACTCATTGTTATGCAATCCCTCCCCCCAAGTCCACTGTACTGTGTAACTTTCATTCTGGACTCGTGTCATGACAATAATAATCATATATCCCTTTTTAAACAGTTCCCTCCCTCATTTGTTTCAATGCAGTATACATCATTTCTCCCCTCTTTCTCTGCCTCCCCTCAACCCGATGCCAGTCCCATTTTACAACAGTGACCCTATGCAATATCTGTCCTTTTGTGACTGAGATATTTCACTCAGCATAATGTCCTCCAGGGTCATCCATTTTGCATAGTATTTCATGAGTTCCTTCTCTAGGGAAGATAGTCTTTTGCTTGGAATTTGGGGCTGTTAATTAGCTTGGTTATGGGCTTTTATGATTAGGCCTAGAGCCTTATCAAGATCCACTGTCTGGTCTGGTCACCTTAGACATTATCAGGTTTCTTTAAGGAGTGAACAGGTTTGGTGGCAACTGTGACATTCTTCCTCCACGTACCACAAACCACCAGAGCTCCTTCAAGTTCCCTGTTGTTGAATGTCACAGAGTTCGAACCAGCTCATAGCTGACCCTCCAGAGGGTTTTTGGAGACAGTAAATCACTTGGGAGGAGATTGACCATTTTTCTCTCGTGGAGCAACTGGTAGATTCAAGCTGCTTGCCTTTGGGATTGATTGCAGCCCAGATTCTTACTACTTTTTTTTTTTTCAGATTTATCAAAGGATTTAATTTGGGTTTTCATGAATTTTACTTTCAACTGGAATGTGCATATTTTTCTTTTACTATATTTCCCTCTTCTTTTTTTTAAGATTATAATAGATATTTATTTAAGGTAATACATATGGCAGCCCAAATGGTTCTTAAATTATCTATTTCATGTTTAAACAACATCATAAAAATACTTAGAGGACAGCTGCATCCACAGATTTCAATTACGTGATTCTCTTTCAAATTACCACAGCCAAACTGCCCGGAATAAAGGGCCAGCCAAGTTGACACAACCTTAACCATCACAGCCAAGATCACTCACCTCCGACCTTCGCACTTTCACTGCTGATGTCAGAAACATAAAATATCAGCTAACAAGACAGTTGATGAATGTTAGGTGCATTACTGACATACATGCATTACTGAGAGAGAATGTTCTGCTCTACAGAGAACACATACTTTTAATCCCCTTTTCTTCAGTGAGGCATTTATAT